CGTATGTGTGTATGTGATTGTGTGTGTGCGTGTGTGTGTGTGTGTGGTTATTCAACTTCAAAGATTTAAAAAGTCGAATATACTGCAATGAGTTTAAATATTAATAGATAATACTATTAAATCTTCAAATTAATATTAACTTAATCATCGATTTTGTGGATGACAGATGGTAGCAGAAAACACATTACTTTGAGATAAAAAGGCCAGAAAAGCTTTGCGGAGATGTGATCGTCCACATTCGGGAGAAAAATTGTGCGTAAAAGAAGAATTAATATTTCAAAATAATACTACTTTGACAAATAATAGCAAATATTTATAGAAATATATAATTTTCATCATAGCGTCTGTTTCAAGTTGTTTAGTTCTTTAAAGAAAAGCGGAAGGGGCTGAATTCTCGTGCGCTCTCATGAGGAAATATATATATATATATATATATATATATATATATATATATAGAGAGAGAGAGAGAGAGAGAGAGAGAGAGATAGATAGATAGATAGATTCTTATAAAGTTATTATCGTGGATACTTCTGATTTGAAATAGATGCTCCATTTTTACTTATTAAATTACGTCTATTGGTCTGCACATTCGAGGAATCTAAGTAAAGAAAATTTCTCGAATGTGCAAACCGATAGACGTAATAGACAGCGTTTAATAAGTAAAATGGAGCGTCTCTTTCAAATCAGAAGAAGTATCCACTATAATAACGTATTAAAATATATATATATATATATATATATATATATATATATATATATATATATCAAGGACAATTTGTCATGGAAAATGTATGACAAAGTGGAAAAAGTTTTCATGTGACGCGTTTCGTCCTTTAGGACTTCATCGGACTGAGTTTGTTTATGCCTGGTGCGATTGCACATGCACACAATCGTTTATATATATATATATATATCAAAAAGCACGCACACATACGCACAAACATGCACATACACACACACACACACACACACACACACACACATATATATATATATATATATATATATATATAAACTGAAAATAATTTAAAATTAGAATTCACAGCAACTAAGGGACGAAAGGCGTCACACGAAAAACTTTTTTTCCACTTTGTCATACATCTTTCTCCCAATACATATATATATATATATATATATATATATATATAAAAAGAAAACTAAGAACATTCGAAAAACGTAATAAGATTTTTCCTGTCTCTCACATTTAATGCAACACATTGAATTCATTTGTCTGGGTTGTCTTATTTTCGATAAATGGAGCGTCTATTTCAAATACGACGTATCCATTATAATAATGTTAGACTAAAAATAAATCATCAGTTCTTAGATGTGTCTGTGTCTCTGTGTGTGTGTGTGTGTGTGTGTGTGTGTGTGTGTGTGTGTGTGTCAGTATATATGCTCACGGGAAATCCAGTTGAGCTCTGTTGAGAAAAGGATAATTTTAAAAACAGTGGCTCCTACTGCTATTATGTCCATTAGGTCACGTAAAAAATCGGCATATCACGATTAAAAATGACTCATAAATCAACGAAAACAAAGTTTTGTTTATGTTATGTTTATGTTGTTATGAAGAGGAAAGACCAAAGTATATTTTAAATATTTTTTGAAATTTTTTACTCCTAGCACGTAGAAAATTTTGCTTAAAAATTATGTTTTTTTTTACGACAGCGCGACAGTACTAAAAAAAGGTTTGTTTTATTTTGCGCTTTTCCCGCGGAAAACACACGTTAATTAGGAAATTCTTGCAAAAATCAAATAATTGTTGGATTTTAATGAAATTTTCAGGACTTATTCAGAAATGAATGAAATCTTTTTGGAATTTTTTTTTTTCAAAAAATCTTGTTAAAAAGAGATTTTTTTTAAAACATGTTTCCACCCACTTACATATTTTCAAGAAATTTCAAGAAATTAAATACGCACGCCCGGGATTTTTTTTATTAGTTATAAACAGGAATGTTTGTAGAAAGTAAATCACCAGTTTTTTTTTGTAAAACATTTAATTCTTTTATAGAAAATCAAATTTGAATTGTAAAAAAAAAAAATGTAAAAAAAGTATGACATTTAATTAATTAGAAAAGCTTACACCTGTTTTTGTAGATACGTTATATTAAGGACATTATTTTGTGAAGAAATAAAAATTTTTCGATGAATAATGTATTTTTTGCAAATTTTTTCCACATTTTAAAAATTTTTTCATTAACGTCTTAAATACTTCAAAAATCTTTTAAAATTCTTTATTTCTTTCACCCAAATAATGCAATGATAACGTTAATGAAAATGTAAATTTACAAATCGAACTTTGAAAAGCACATAACAGTCGTTTACACACAAATATTTTTAAAATAATTTTAAAAATAAATTTTTATTGAAAAACGTTCATAATTTCTATGTATGGAAATGTATACGCGACATAATCCTTAAAAAGGTCACGTGATTTGTGTCGTCTGGCACCGCAGTTATTTCACTCCTCTGTCCAGTTCAGATACACATCGTTAACGTGTTTGCAGAAATTAATAAAAAAAGTTTAAAGAATTATCTAAATAATAAAAAAAGTTTAAAGAATTATCTAAATAATAAAAAAAAGTTTAAAGAATTATCTAAATAATAATAAAAAAAAGTTTAAAGAATTATCTAAATAATAATAAAAAAAAGTTTAAAGAATTATCTAAATAATAATAAAAAAAAAGTTTAAAGAATTATCTAAATAATTAAAAAAAAAAAGTTTAAAGAATTATCTAAATAATAAAAAAAAGTTTAAAGAATTATCTAATTTTATTGCCATTATTATAGAGTTTTGTCCCTTTATTCTAATGAAACTAAAAGCGTTCACTCAGATTTCTAATAATTTTCATTGGGGCCATCCGTAGTAGCTGTCGTCACTCGTCACTCAACACGTAGATCAAATATTGGATAAAAACACCAGTACCAATCGTTAATAATTGGTTGTACTACTTTTTTTATGCTAGAAGTAAGTAATAATTCTTTTAAATCAGATTAATTTAACATTAAATTTTCTAATTTTACTAAAATAACGTGTCAGAAACTTTGTTAAATATTTTTAAAATCGATAAATTTGTGTTTGTTTACAAATTTCTTAAAATTAAGAAAATGGCGGATTTTTAAGAAAATTTAAAATTCCAATACTAAATTTGACATTCCAATGTATATAGTTTCTATCTGAAATACACCAGAATTATTTACTTAATGGAAATAATAAATTTAATGATTAAACTTTCAATTAAAGCTAAAATGAAATCTTAAAGCATGTTTTTTCATTTTTTAAAATTTATTTTAAAGTTAGGTATCGAAAAAAAAGTGGAGGTCCCTACATTAACGCATTGCTCTTTAACTGAATTGAGCTTTCTGGGCCACTGGCTTATTTCGTATAGAAAAACGTTAAAATTTTATTTACGCTCTGCCATGCGGCGATAGTCTAGGGGTAGGATCTATGACTGATTGACTTGAAGCAATCGGACGTCTAATCTCAATGAAGAGCTGTGATACAGCGAAACAGTCTGTCTGTGGATGACTATATATATATATATATATATATATATACATATATATATATATAAGCGAGGACAGACGGTGGGACGGCATCCATATCGGAAGGGCATCCAGAGAAATAAAAATTTAATTTGAATAAAGTGTTTATTTCATGTTTCATCTGTTTTTAAATATTTAAAATGTTTTCTTTTCTCACATTCCTCAGAACCAGTCTTTAGAACCCCCCCACACTATTTGACAAATTGAAGTAGGTAAGAAGCATACGAGCATTCAATTTCCTATTTCATAATGTTATTTCCATATTGCTTTCTACGCTTTGTTCACTGTATTGAAGTGCGTTGAATAGTTAAAATATTTGATGACAATAGTCTCTAATTTCTTTGGACATTTGTGGTCACTTATTCGCCGGATGAATGACGACAGAATAAAAAGTGTTTGTGCGGTTCACTAAGTCCGTCATCCGGATGCGAATTGAGGCTAGCGAGTCAGCAATGTCGGCTCGGTTAGTGGAAACTAAACTTGTTTCATCAATTCTTTATAAAGAACGATGATCTACAAGTTCCTGTTAAAGGACACTTTTTCTGAAATTGGAAGCCTGTGGTTAGAATAGAGAAGAAGGAAGTGATAGACAGAGAGAGAGAGAGAGAGAAACAGAAGAAAATCAGAATTAGATCGAAAGAGGGGAAAAAGAAAGAAAAAACAAGCAAAATAAGAGAAAAGCAGAATGAGATAGAGAGAGAGAAAGAGAGAGAATTAGATTGAGATCAAGAGGTAGAATACTATAGGAAGAAAAAAGGAATCAATGAAGAAGTGGTAGAAAATAAAAGCAGAATGAGATAGATAGATAGATAGATAGATAGATAGATAGATAGATAGACATATAGAAAATCAGTAGCTGAATGAGAAAGAAAGAAAGAAAGAAAATCAGTAGGTGAATGAGAAAGAAAGAAAGAAAGAAAATCAGTAGGTGAATGAGAAAGAAAGAAAGAAAATCAGTAGGTGAATGAGAAAGAAAGAAAGAAAGAAAGAAAATCAGTAGGTGAATGAGAAAGAAAGAAAGAAAATCAGTAGCTGAATGAGAAAGAAAGAAAGAAAGAAGGAAAATCAGTAGGTGAATGAGATAGATAGATAGATAGATAGATAGATAGATAGATAGATAGATAGATAGATAGATAGATATCAACCCGATGAAGTTTATTTAAAACCAGGAAATACTTATACATTGTAAGAAATTTTTGGTGGGGCATATAATAATTGTATAGTGATGCAATTTTTACGAATAAACCCAAAGCTAGGGGTAAGAATAGATGTATTTATACATTCCCCAAATGTATTTGCGCGCAAGTTAATAACCCAACCGAAATTGGAACTCAGCTCTCCGATTAATAATTCTGAGCCATTATATTACCCAGCTTACTGGTATTCCGAAGCTCTCATCCATCAAGGTACTGAACCAGGCCCGACGTTGCTTAACTTCGAGGGTCGTACGAGAACTAGTGTTTCAACGTGATGTGACAAAAAGCCAGATAGATAGATAGATAGATAGATAGATAGATAGATAGAAAATTAGAAGTTGAATGAAATAGATCGAAAAAACGGAAGCTGAATGAAACAGATAGATAGATAGATGGCAGCATTATGTTGTAATATACATTGTATGCCCTGCAGATAAATACTAGTAGAATTCCATTGATCGAGGGTTAACGACCTACTTGAATGGAACATTACGTTTGTAACATCAAAGAATTACGCCTCGTATAATCGGCACTTCGTGAACAGAACGTGTTAACGGGGATGACAAAAAGAATTATTATTTGAAATCATCACTCATGTTTTTTTTTAAATAAATACTCCCTCATAGAAGTGTTAACATCTTTTAATCACTCTGCACATGTCCATATTGCTACATCTCATTATATCATGTTGTTGCAGTCTGCCAGTGGGGTAATTCGCCAATTGAAGCCGGGACCGAAACCCGACCGATTTAGCATCAGTTGGAGATTCTAATTCCTAAGCTATCGACGCCCGGTAGGGAGAAATTGAATTTTTGCGTATTTATTTTTTTCATAAACAATAAACACGCCATACATACATACATACATACATACATACATACATACATATATATATATATATATATATATATATATATATATATATATATATGAAGAAATATAACCTTAAGATGTGCTATATTTATGAGATAAAGTGCTCAATATCAGAGATAGAGCGTGTGTAAATGTAAAAGTGAACATAGAAGTCAACACTAAGGTTGACTTCTATGTTCCCTTATATATATATATATATATATATATATATATATATATATATATATATATATGAAGAAATATAGTCATAAGATGTGCTATATTTATGAGATAAAGTGCTCAATATCAGAGATAGAGCGTGTGTAAATATAAAAGTGAACATAGAAGTCAACACTAAGTTGACTTCTATGTTCACTATATATATATATATATATATATATATATATATATAGAGAGAGAGAGAGAGAGAGATAGATAGATAGATAGATAGATAGATAGATAGATAGATAGATAGATAGATAGATAGATATTTGTGAAAATATATAGAAAATAGGAAAGAACTGGTTAGGTAGATCCAAAGTTTCTTAGTATTTTAGTTATTATTTTTTAAAAATAGTGCTCGATACAAATGTAGAGGATAAATATAATTATTTATTTAAAAATATGATTCCAACTCGCGACATAAGAGGTCTCATGTTTGAAGCTAGTTCAGAAAGAGAAGCCTTTGAAATGTGAAATATTAAGGTTTAATTCAAGTTGACCGTTTTACGAGAACAAGTGAAGAAAAGCTAACCTTCTACTTATCTAAATAACGAAAAGTCAAATGTCTTTATACAATTGATCATATAATACAAGACCCAAGAGACACTCAATGCAGAGAGTTACTGAATAGAGTTGTTTTAATAGTGTACAAGTAGAGAGTAAGAGGTGAATTTCATAATACTTAAGATTGACTCTAGGCTTGAAGTGGTTAAGATTGCAATGATCAGGGAAGCATCCTCTCGGCTGCCTGTTTCACAATGTAGTAGTTCTCGTAAAGAAGCTGGTTGGCTAAAACGTCTTCCTTACCAATGGAATAGGAAGGGAATAAGATAAGACTTTAATTTTACTGCTAATTATAGCTATACTTAAAAACAAGTTGGATTATTTCCTTGAACTATTCGGAGTAACATTGTCATCTTCGGTGTATTAATTACAACCTTTCGATCCGTCAGATTCCAACGTTTTTACACATGTAACGGTTCATCTCCATTCATTTTATTCATGTTTAATAAGTCTTCCCCCCAAAATAAATCTTTCCAAAACAAATACGGTGATCTTTTTTTTAAATCATATCATCCTATGCAAGGCAGTATATTAACTAAGTCACAAGGGGTTACTGAGTGTGAAAGAATAAGAAAAAATAGAATTATCATTAAGGAATGACGACAATAGAAGATTAATCAAGAAGACAGCAGATAACGATTGACATTTCATTTAAATCTTTGAAGATCAAAGTTGGCTGGAAAGCATCAAACCGGAAGGATGTTCCTCAAGTGAGACGTACAAGAAAAGAAACTGATAACATAGAACTTATGGTGACATCTAACCAACTCAACTGTGAATTGATGAGATCTTGCCGCTAATCTCATACTGCGCTTAAATTCATAACGTCTAGGTACCATATGGTTCATTCAAAGCGTTATCATGAAAGTATTTATAGAAAAGTACAGGGAAGTGACTGAATCCAAGATGCCATGGCAGGACAATAATATTGCTGGTTCATCTTTCGATTTTATCAAGAATCCCTAAATATACAACAGAAGCAGCGAACCATGTGTAACAACAATATTCAAAGCAAGGACGAGTGGTAGACTTGTAAATATGTATGATAGGGAAGAAAAATTGTCTAGTACGTCACAGAGAACCAAGTGAAGCGTATTCTCAGATTAATAACTATAAATAGCTTCACGGGAATGAGGTATGTAGGTCATAGCGAGGATCATCCTCCTTGTGAACCTTTTCAGTATTACAAAGAAATGTACAAAATGCGTACATGAGGTAAATTCAAAAATTGATCAATCTTCTTCACCAGCTCCATTTTGGGTCAACTCAGACATCAGGGATTGACTCTAACACTCTCCATTTAAGTCTAATTGGAGAGGTTCTGCCTGAGGAGAATATGACCTGATATTGGGCTTAATTAGTGAAAAAACTCAGCGGCTTATTTTGAAAACCCGGAACAAAAAACATTGTTGAATAACAGTTTTTCGTTAAAAACTATTGCACCTATATTATTTTCTTCTATATATCGCGCATCCCTTCAGGACATGAGCGATCTTCCTGTCCATTGTAAACCTTAAAATGTCGTTTTGCTATCTCTCCTAAATCTTGTTCTGCGAACCATTTACACATGCTCGTTAGGGAAGTTTTTCAAGGACTTCCTCTGTCCGTCTTGTTTTCTGTATAGCCCGCAGCACAAATCTATTTCCATACCTGAGGATGTCTGTAGGAACAGACGAAAGCTTGTACAAACTAAAAAAGACCTTATGAAACTGGAATTTATAAACAGGGATCATATCATTCATATACAGGTTCGGGGTTAGTGTATCTTATTGAAATTGTTTGCGAAGATGTATTCTCGCCATTTAAATCATTAACCTCTATATTTGTTTTTTGTATGAATGATTCATGTAATTATAAATTAAACTGCACCTATAATCGAAATATATATATATATATATATATATATATATATATATATATATATATATATAAACCACTAGTAAACTCTTGCTAGATTACTCTTGCCATCTTAATTTCTCTACTGAATGCCCTCTTGGGTATAAAATAGGTGTTATTAGAAATTTCCTAAAGAGAGCGCACGAGAATTCATCCTCACGCACGCTTTTCTTTAGAGAATTAAATAACATTAAACAAACGCGTATCAACAATCAGTTGTTGGATTTCCATATTAGACTTTTTTCTGTCTATGTTAGCTAATAGCAACGATGAGAATACAAACATAAACAATAGTATTAATGTGATTGGCGAAGTAGATAGTAGTTTCTCCAGTTACTGTTACGCTGTAACTACTTATTTAAGACGTTGAATACTGAGATAGAGTTTTACTTTGAAAAGACTGAATTCAAAGAGTTCAGAGGTCATCCAAGTATCACCATAGTTACAACGCTGAACCGTAGACATTCAAAGAACAAGGCAGAAAGATCCCACTTTTCCTTTGGAGAAGTTTACAATCAAGGAAGATCTGCAACGAATCCGTAACCTTGCAGAGGACAGAGAAATCTTGCAAAATATTGACGAATCTGTAGACAATGTCACTGAAGATGAGAAAACATGTTCATTCATGACCTCAAATCTAAACAGTTTTGATGATGATGATGATGATGATGATGATGATGAATATTTTTTATAAAAATCAGATGAATGATAATTACAAACAAGGTGAAAGTAGACTTAAGAACATTATAAAACAATGCACAACACCAATATACAAGATCAAAAAAATTCGACTAATTATTTATTACAAAAAAATTTAAAACCGCCAATCTTGTAATTAAAAATAATAATTCACCTCTTAGATCAAAATTAAATAAAACAAATATTATTTACGAATTAAAATATCCATTAAGTAATTGTGTTCCTGATCAATCAAAATGCGTAAACAGGTATATGGTCACACCATAATATGCTTAACAAGAAGACTCGCGCTACATCTTTCTGACCATAGCTTAATTTGATCTCATTTAAATATTCGTGGAAAACTACTGGACCCTATTTGTAATATACTTGTTGATAACACAAATATAATAGCATCGTCTACATGTAAAAAAGGCTAAAAATAAAGGAAGCGTTATTAATAAAAACAAAAAAAAACAACACTCAATAATATCACCTATGAACATGGACACAATATATTGACTGTGTTTTGAAGATCAAACATTCTATAATACTAAATAAATACATACAACAATCCATTTCCAGTTAAAAGTAAATATATTTCATCCTTGAAAATGGCTACATGTATAGCTGAAAGCGATCGGAAAAATAAAACATTTGAACAGTCTTTGCATAATTTATCTACTGAAAAGAAAAATATATAAGACCATAGGAGAAATTATATAAAAAAACTTAATCAAAGCACCTTGTCTGTCATATTTAATGAAGCTTGCATTAAAGAAGGATTGCTGCCTAAATACAATATATATATATATATATATATATATATATATATATATATATATATATATATATAGTTCATAAGTGAACTTTTAAATGGAATTTGGGTAGCCCTCTGAGGTATTTCTTCGCAAATTTTTAATATATTTACAAATTAAAATTTCCCTTAAGGAACTGTGTTCCTGATCAAACCAAACTTATAAATAATTACCTCCGTCACACTACTACATGCCTGTCCAGACGACTTGCATTATACCTGTATGACCACAGCTCCGTTAGGACTCACTTAAACACACACACACACAAACCTACCAGACTCCACCGAAATATATATGTAGAAAATACAAGCATAATAACGTCAATCACGTGTAAAAAAAAATTTTGAAACTACCAGCGTCTCTCGTTTTGTGCGCATGTGTAGACGTGACAACATCAGCAAAGCCTAGTCCGATGAAATCCTTGCGGATGAAATGCGTCACAAAAACTTTTTTTTTCCAATTTGTCATACTATTTTCTTAAATATAGAATATCAATTGCAATTGTTTATTTATGCGCGTTTGATTACATATAATTGATCGTATTATATATATATATATATATATATATATATATATATATATATATATATATAGCTTACTTATTATAAAACGCAGATTGTGTGTGTAGTGTGTGTGTGTGTGTGTGTGTGTGTGTGTGTGTGTGTGTTTCGTTTATATATGGGATCGGATTTCCTACATTTTTCAACCGATTTCAACAAAAATTCTTTTTTTTTTTTTTTTTTGACAGGTAGTGTTTCTTATTGTCTTGCACACTTTTTTTTCTTTATTTTACATTCAGAATGCGTTAAAAATTCCATTTACAAGACAATTGTTTATAATAAAATTCTATTCAATCGGTAGACTCATAACGATTGAAAACAATGTTTTTGTTTGAGTTTGGGTTTGACCAATTCGTAAAAAAAAATAATAATTAAGAGATGCGTGTCTGTCAACCTTAAACAATAATCTTTGTCAATTTTATTTTTCAGACTTAATGATGGTCGATACTTGATCTATCTCTTATTGTTACATCCCCGGGCAACGCCGGGCTCTACTGCTAGTATATATATATATATATATATATATATATATGTATGTATATATAACTTTCATACTAGATTTTTTTTAATTTCGATCGTTTGAATTTAGCTAACGCGAGCTGTGTTTAATAAAAGAAAAGTTTGTTATTTTTATATAAGCTTTTAGAAAATATTGAATATTTGCCATAAATCAGGTGAAATTCGTGGCGTGAATAAAATGCTTTACAATTTGTTAAAGAAATCCACAAAGAAAGGCGACAGACGAGTGAACGATCATATATGTATACATGAACAAACAAAAAT